GTTTCCAAAAAGGACTTGATTGCACACTTTTTACAAAAGTTAGGACCACATTGAACTTCTAAAAAAAGGTAGGACCGAATTGAACATTTGCCCCCTTTCGAGGGACCAAAAGAGGTATTAAACCATTTTTAAAATTTGGAACAATTAGATTTTTGTCATTAGTTTCAAACTAATATCATTAAAGAGGTGTCATGTACCATCTCGTGGTATTTTTAAATTTTTTAAATATTTTTTAATTATTTTATTTCATTTTTATTTTTTAAAAATTTAAAAGAAAACTATCACGTGTCAAAGTTGACATTGTGCTACGTGTTAGTGACAATGTGATGTGACACCGATAGGTCGCTTGTCTCATGACATTGAAATTTTTATTTTTATAGTTTCCTCATTCATATTATTTAGGTTCGATGATTTCATTTGTTGCTCATTCATACTATCAATGTTACGTCATACTATCATTGTCACATGACATAATGTTGGCTTAACATGTGGAAAATTTTTTATTTTTCAAAAATAAATTAAAAAAATAAAAATAAAAAAATATTTAAAAAATTCAGAAAAACCACGAATTGACATGTGACACTCTTTTTAACGATGTTAGTATGGGACTAACGCCGAGGACCTAATTGGGTCAATTTTTCGAAAATAGGGACCTAATTGACACAAAAAAAGTGAGAAGGACCTAACTGAGAAAAGTCACCGAAAATAGGGGCTATCTGAATTATTAAACCTTTTTTATACTAAGGTTAGTTATAAAGTTATATAATTATTTGTTAAAATTAATAAGGATTTCTTAAAATATATAGTCTTGTGTATGTAAAAACTTAGAAAATGATATTTTAAAAGTGATAATATTTTAAAAATAGTGAACTTAATTATATTAATGTTAAAAGGTTTTAATATAAATAGTATTGTTATGAGTTTCATTATTTTAAAACATAAAATTTCTTTCTAAGTCACTTTTCTATAGTTCTAAGACTTCTTTTTAAGGATTTTTCTATCTATTTTATCTGATGGAAGAACCATAGCATTAATCCTTGCGATAAGTTCTTCAATTTGAACCAATTAGTTTCGTTCGTTTAAATTGAGTTTTAGCTATTTTTCTTAGTTTCTTTTTATTATGGGATGTATATGAGTCTTCTTCCACTTGCATGCATGTTTTTAGTCATTTATATAAATCTTTGTTGATCAATGATCATAATGATATGTATTGATCGTTCTTGTGATGTTTCTACCTGTAATAGATAGTTTTAATAAAAAGAACAAATTAAAGAAATAGAATATATTTTGAAGGGGTTTTAAAAGAAATAATAAAATAATAATATATGAGTGCAAGAATAGAAAAAGAAAACGTGAGTTTTCCGGTGGAAAAAAAGTAAAAGTTGTTACATAAAAGAGAAACAAAATGAGTACATATTTATAAGGGTTTTTAAGAAGTATATATATATATATATATATATATATATATATATATATATGATGAATTTGTGATTCAATACTATGCTAAAATCATGTTAGATCACCACTTCCATGACATTTTCACAATTATATAATTGATCAAATCTAATTTTTGAACACAAAGAAAATCATAAACGTTATAATAAAATGATGCCATTAACATTAAAGTACAACACTTAAAATGCTCCTTGATCACCTCAAAATCCAAGTCTTAATTATTAAAGAATCCAATTCAAAACTTCAAGATTCCCGAAGACCCACAGCACACTCTCACCCTTTCATGCATATATCATGATGAGAAAATAAATAAGAGCTCGAAATTTGGTATTAGGTTATTGGTCTTTGCAACATGAAGGCTCCAATTTTTCTTTCTTTATGAGTAAGAAGAAATGATCTTGCGTAGTTTTGGAGAGAAGAAGAATGAGGAAAGTGAATGAAGTTTTGTTTATTTTGAGAAAGTACCGAGTAGACTTTTCCACACCCTTTAGTTGCTAAGTTAAGCTTCTCCTATTCTTTTACTTTCTAATCTATTCAAAACAAATTGTTCTTCAGCCAATTTATAAAGTCCAATGACTTAATCATTAAACTCTCATTTTACTAACTACACCCATTTTTATATACATTCATATTACAATTCACATATCATTAATTAAATTAAAACTTAGTTATAAATTACATTTAATTTATATATTTATTTTATTATTTATAATAATTAGAAATTCAAATATGAGTTAAAAGTCTCATATTTGAATAAAAAAAATTAAGTAACATTTAAGAAAAAAACACACAAATATTCAGTCGTAAGTTTATGTGTTGAAAGTGATATTAGATTTCTTATATAAATAATTTATAATTCATTAATTATAAATACTTGAAGTCTATTTTTCAAAAGAAAAAATTTATATACATTACTCATAATGTAATCCTCTTTTTTATATTTTTCCATGATAATGGAAGACGAAGAAAATTTGAGCAATGTGAAAAAGGGTGAAAGAAGAAAATTATTTATATATAGGTCAAATTTTGAAGCACACTCTTTCCAGTTATCAGAAAGTCCGATATCAAATGCAATTTTTTGTTTTCAATTGAATATGATTTTTCAGTTATTGGCAGCCGTCCAGTCATAATATTATTTATTATTCTTTTCTTTTTCAAAATTAAATTAATTTTTCAAGTCAAAATCTAACACTGCCCTTGTTTGTTAAAAAAAAAAAAAACCAAAACTTATACTACCTTTGTCCAAATTATATGTATTTTTTTCCTCTCAATAATTTTAAATTGAACATGTTGGATTATCATTTATTTTAATTTGTCTTTACGTAAATCACTTAAATAATTAATTACTGAATGAAATAAATGTGATGTGTTTAAATTGGGCCAATTTTCAAAATCTGAACAACCCTAATTGCTTGTTGAAGTTATCATTTATGGGATCAAACCTGCATGGTTTTGCTCAAAGCCTTATTCAAACTTTTGACCACAGAGAAATTTGACTTCAAATCAAATGATTTAAGATTTCAATTTCCATTGCTTTTGATTGTTCCAAGATTTGATTATCATGACTAAGGATGCAATGAAACACAGAAAACCCTACTTTGTAAAAGCATGGAACAGAAATCAATTCACAACTCATTTTCTCCTTCAATATTTTTACTGATAAATATTGAAGATTTCATAATATTTCAATGTACAAAATGACAATATCTCCAATTCGACACCCTCTTCAGAACAGGTCGAACTATGAGCTATCCAAAGGAAAGAATAGAAAACTTCTCACACCAAGCAATTCCCATGTATCTTCATTCTTCACAGATTGTTCAACTCTTATCCAATTAAACAGCCTACCTAAGATAAAAATAAAAGCAATGTGGCATAGTCATCAAGCCTACCCCAGTTGACTTATCAACTCAAAAAAGGATAAATCATATTTCATAAAAGGAAAACAGCACATCAATATGTTATCTTGTAAACTACAGATGAGACAATTTTGGTCATGAAGTATTAGAGTCAACATCTTCATCAAAATCAAGCAAATCAAAGAAGGGGTCCTTGAGCAACTCTGCAGCAGAAGGTCTAGCCCTTGGCTGAGCAAGACACCTCTCAATGAAGGCCTTCACTTCAGGATCTTGGATCTTATTCAGGGCTTGAGGTCTCACACCTGATGACACCTTCTTGTATATCTTAGCAACATTGTCACATTCACTGTAAGGAATCTCTAGTGTTACCATCTCTAACACACACATTCCAAATGAGTATATGTCAACCATTTCAGTGTAGTCTTCATCATACAACTCAGGTGCCATGAATTCTGGTGTCCCTAGAACTGAATGTGCAGAGTGGCTTTTCCCCACAATTGCTGCCAAACCCAAGTCACCAATCTTAACCTAAGAATGTAAATCAAACAAAACAAAAATCAGTTATGACATCTTGCAATAAACAGTAACAACAAAAATTATAATTATACTGGTTTAACCATGAGTAGCTAAAGTTAGGATGTCCATATTGAGATTTGTTTGAGAAATGAAAGCAAATTTCATAAAATCATAAGCATTGGTAATCTAATTTCCAAGGTTTTATATGTCTGTTATTGGTTGTGTTGCAATTCTTGATATTATGAAAAATCATGGATAAATGTGGTCGGTGAAAATCACAATGATTGTCACAAACACTTCAAAAACCTTGACATTGCGACCAAAATGACAGGTGCAGATAGTTTTTGTGGAACCTTCGTAATTTTTACTGCTTTCTCTCCTTTGGTTGATTGAAGAAAAAACATGAGATTGAAGAAAAAGAATGTTACCTGGCCAGTGTTCCCATTGACAAAGACATTGCTGCAGTTGAGGTCTCTGTGGATGATACAAGGGTCATGAACATGCAAGTAATTCAACCCTTCCAAAATCTGCTTGGACCACTTTTTCAAGGCTCTCATGGACACATGCCTGTGTTTCTTTCTGTACTCCCTCAGATTCCCACTGGTGCAGACCTCAGTGATGAAGTTCAAAGTGTTGTGCTTCTCATCCCTCCAAACGCTGTAAAGGGAGATGATGTTTTTGTTGGTCAAGCTTCTGAGCAATCTCACCTCAGAGTAAAGCCTTTCCACCATTGCAGGATCGTTACTGAAGTTCCTCAGTTTCACTTGGTTCCATGCCACCTCTATCCCCTCTTCCTGATCAAATGCCCTGTACACCTTTTTCACAGCACCACATCCCAGCAGTTCATTGTATCTGCCATATCTTCTTGTTGGATCAATTTCAACAAATGGCTCTGACTCTCTCTCCAATACATCAGGCTTAACACTTGGCATCTGCCACCAAAACATTAATCACAGCACCGTCAAAATAAAATGCCAAAAAGTTAAATAATTGCACACAAAATTCTTTCTTAGGTCTCATTTTCAGAGAACAGAATCATCTGTTACTCTAGTTTGTTAGAGAGAAAAAAGGAAGAAAGAAACCAACCCATCATCAAAATTCATATAAAGTTTCTTACTTTCCACATCAAAGAAAAAAACTGGCAAGTTGGTATGCATGAAACTAAGATCAAAATTAATCTAAGAGGAAACTAAGGAAATAGAAATCAATTCATTATGGTTATGGAGATGATTGAGCAGACTAGCAGAAAATTACATGAGAAATTGATAGCAGAAGATAATGCAGAATAGAGAAAGAGAAAGTAAAGATGATTACCATGAAGAAAAAAGTAATGCTATTTGAAGAAGAAAGAGGAGCTGAAGAAACAAGTATGAGAGAAGAAGCAGAATGAGACACAAAAACAAGAAAGGATGAGGTATTGGAGGAAACTATATATACACAAAATCAAGGAGGGTACGTTAGTTAAAAGGGTAATTTCATTAGGATTAGGTATTAGATATTAGATATTAGATATTATAGATATTATAGATATTATAGATATTACTTATTAGATATCAGAAACCATTTTTCGTTATTTTTTTCTGATTAACGATGATTACGAAAAGAAATATAAAATAAAATTTTCATTATCCCTTACAAATATAATCTACTGAAGTTACTGGTCAACTCAAATTAAATTAATTTAATTACTTCTTGTTCAGATCTTTTAAAAGAATTTGTTTCAAACTAGCATTTACCCGCACTGTTTAAGAAATAATTTTGTGAAAAGTAAAATAAATTCACTTTGCGAAATATGTAAAAACATATAATTTTCAGTAAAAATTAAAACTACTTTATCTTGAATAAAAAAATTTTAAGCAGTTGTAAACAAAATCTATTCTGTTTACTATCTTGAATTTAAAAAGATTAAAAATGTTTTCAGATATACCGTTTTAATCTTTTATATCTTTCAACTTTTTATCCTTGTTTTCAAATTAATTTTAATATTTAAAATATATCAATAACTACAAGTAACTGATACAACAGGATAAATAATTTATCATAAACTTAACACATAAATTATATGTTTAAAAATAGTGTATGATAAAAAGATTAAGCTACGATTATATTTTATATAGTTTTTAAAATAGGTACTACACCATTAGAAAGTCAGAAAATTTATCATGTGCATTTTGTAATTGGACGCTATTATTGAAAAAAAGTATTTATTTATTTATTTAAATGTAATTTTGGTTATTTTTTATTTTAAGTTTCTAACTTCATTTTGCCCTCACACTTTCATGGTAACCCTAGCTAACAGGGGAGATAGTGTTAACCTTTTTCCAAAATATCTGTTGTAAAGGGAAAGAAAAAGGTGCAGGAATCATATTTATTCAGAGATGGATATAGTTAACATGAATCTAAGAATATTAGGCAATTCCTACTATTTTTTAATCTTATTTGTAAATTAGTTCTTTTAAGTTTTTATAGATTAAGAATATCGATATAATGAGAATTAATTCATTACACAAACAATTAAATAACCATTTAATATCAGGTAGATATAAGTAGGAAAACACAAACTGAATATGGTAGGCAAATCTTAATTTATTGTAATTAGGTTAAACTAATAATATGTTTGAATTGTATGATAGTTTGTGGTTAAATTTAATATTAGATCTTGTTATTCTAAGAAATAACTGAATATTTAAGATAGAAATAACCGAATATTGAGATTTTTAAGATCATCACTAATGGTTATTCTTTGGTAGTTTTAAAATTATCATAAACTAACAATCTAATCACAAAAAAAACACTCAAAAATCAAACATCAATTTTTTTTTACAATTTAAATTAAAAATCCCCAAACTTGATTAATTTTTTAACAAAGAAATTATATTGAATATATATATATATATATAAAAGGTTTGTTAACTTATTGTATATCAAATTTTAGTTGAGAAAAGAATTCCTATTTATAAAAAAAGATATACTTTAAATACATAAGTATTTTAATAATTTTTATTTTTAATTTAGAAATATAAAATAAAAAATTATTCAAATATTCTTAACTTATGAAAGTATAAAATTTGGTACTTTAATATGTTATGTAAGTTAGTAAATCCATATATATATATATATATATATATATATATATATATATATATTT